TCTAGTGCTTTTCTAACTATTGGCCAGGTGTTTTGTAGTTTTTCCATCCATTCTTTCAGTGAAGGGATCGTTGGTTCGTTTGGGGTTAACTCTGGCATGGGGTTGAAACTTTGACGGTGGCTATTTGAAAAGGAGTGTAACCTGTGCTGGAGTGGACTGCATTATTGTAGGCAACTTCTGCAAAAGGGAGTAAGTCCGCCCACTCGGTCTGCTGGAAACTAAGAAAACATCTTAAATATTGCTTAAGTACGGAGTTCATTTTTTCAGCCCCCCCATTTCCTTGTGGGTGGTGGCTAGATGTCAGTCCCTGAGTGGTTCCTAAGAGGGATAAAAATTCCTTCCAAAATGCAGACGTAAATTGCACCCCCCTGTCAGAGATGATGCATTGGGGTGCCCCATGCAATCTGTAAATGTGCTAGATGAAAAGTTTTGCTAAGGTTTTTGCAGTGGGAATCTTTTGGCAAGGGATAAAGTGCACCTGTTTGGAAAACAAGTCCGTGACCGTCCAGACCACAGTATTCCCATTGCTTTCTGGCAGTTCCACTATAAAATCCATGGCTATTTCTCTCCAGGGGGCTGAGGGACTTGCCACTGTTTGCAATAGTCCTGGCAATTTCCCTTGCAACCTCTTTGCCGTGGCACATTTTGGACAACTGGCTATATAACTTTCAATGTCCTTTTTCATGGATGGCCACCAAAATTGCCGTTTAATTAAATGTAAAGTTTTTACAAATCCAAAATGCCCTGCTGATTTTGTGTCATGGCAAAGCTGCATGAAAGTGACTCTTTGAGTTGTTGGTATATATAACTTTTTCCCTACCCAAGGCAACCCGTCTCTCATTGTGCACACATTTTTGTTTTTCTGGAACCATTCATCTGTTTCCAAACTTTTTCTGAATTCAATTCCAGTTTGGCTGTCCAGTTGTGGTTTTAATTTGGCTTGGGTTCTTGTGGTTACTGGTGCTGCCAGTTGTGACTCTGCCATTATTGGTCTAGAGTCTGTGGTTCGTGCGCTGTTATATTGGGGCATGCGAGATAGTGCATCTGCCAGGAAGTTCTTTCTTCCTGGTAAATGTTTGAGCTTAAATTGGAACTGGTGAAAATGCTGGGACCAGCGGGCTTGTTTGGGATTGAGTTTCCTGGACGTTTTCAGGGCTTCCAAATTTTTGTGATCAGTCCACACCTGGACGGGGATTTTGTTGCCTTCCAGGAACTGTCGCCACGTGAGTAATGCCCAACGTATCCCATAAGCCTCCTTCTCCCATACGGGCCAGCGCTGTTCTGTTTCCGTGAGTTTCTTGGATGTATATGCACAGGGTTGCAATACTCCGTCATTGTTTTCTTGTAATAGAACAGCCCCCACTGCCACATCACTCGCATCTGCCTGTATTACGAAGGGCTTGTCCATGTCTGGGTGCCTTAGTACTGGTTCAGCAGAAAAAAGTCTCTTTAGTCTCTCAAACGCTGCTTGGCACTCCATTGTCCATGTTAGTGGCTGGCTAGGTTTTACTGAGGATGCTCCCTTCGTTTTTAGTAAGTTAGGGAGGGGCAAGGCTATCTGGGCAAATGAGGGGATGAATTGGCGGTAAAAGTTTGCAAAGCCCAGGAAACTTTGTAGTTGCTTTCCTGTGCGTGGTGGTGCCCAATCTAATACTGCTTTGACCTTCTCTGGGTCCATTTCAATGCCCGGGGGGGATATGCGATAACCTAGGTAGTCTATCCTTTCCTGGTGGAATTCGCATTTTGAGAGTTTGGCATATAGGTGGGCGGCTCACAGCTTCTTTAAAACCGCTCTGAGAAGGTGGACATGTTCCTCTTTTGTTTCGGTGAAGATGAGAATGTCATCCAAGTAAACCAAGACCCCCTTAAACAGGTGCTCCCTTAGAACGTCATTATTAATTGCATAAAGACTGCAGGGCCCCCTTGTAATCCAAATGGCAAGACTTTGAATTGATAGCACCCCATGGGGCAGTTAAATGCGGTCTTCCATTCGTCCCCTTCCTTAATTCTCACACGATAGTAAGTTTCCCTTAGGTCTAGTTTAGAAAAAATTTTCCCTTTCAATAGGTGTGACAGCATGTCTTTCATGAGGGGTAGAGGGTATAGGTTGCTTTCACTGATTGTATTTAGGGCTCTATAATCCATGCATAAGCGTAAAGAGCCGTCCTTCTTCTCTCTAAAGAGGACCGGGCCAGCCACTTTAGGTTTGGCTGGCTCAATGAACCCTCTCTCTAGGTTTTTTTTAATGAATCTTTCCATTTCCTCCTTCTCCTTTGGGCTCATGGAGTATAATCTGGGCTTCGGGAGTTTTGCTCCAGGCTTGAATTCAATGGCACAGTCTGTGGGTCGGTGGGGGGGAAGCTCATTCGCCCTCTCCTCACTGAAAACTTCAGCAAGGTCTCTGGTATTTCTGTTAGTCCCTTTTCCTCTCCCATGGATGCTTTTTCTATTCTTGATTACGGTAGCCCCCCCCCCCCGGGATTTTAAGTCCACAGGGCCTGCCTTCGGGAATTTGATTTCTGTCGTCCTCCAATTTACCCAGGGGTTCCATTTTTTTAACCATTCCATCCCTAGGATCATTGGGCATTCCATGCCTGGGGTCACCACAAACGTTATGTCCTCCTCATGTTTGCCCAGGGAGAGGTGTATTGGTAGAGTGGCTAGGGTAGCTGGCACTCCCCCTGCTATGGATCCATCTAACTGGCCAAATGAGATTGGTTGTTCCAGTCTCCTTGATGGGATGCCCAGATTCCCCACGAGTGTTGGGCTAATGAGGCAGCGGGTGCAGCCAGAGTCTATTAAGGCTTTCACCTTCACAGCTTCGGGCATGGAGGGGATTAATATAGTCACTGTCTTGAGGATGGGTGTGATGTGTCCACTTACCAGGGGTTCACCCTCTGAGCTGTCATCTGAGGTATCCACCGGCCCTGTGGTGTAGGCTGGAGTTCTTTCCCCTTGGTGAGCAGAAGTGGGGGGTTCTGCAATTTCCATCATTCTCATGGCCGTTTCTTTTGGCTTAGCTGAAGACTTTCCGGATTTGTTGATTGGGGATCTGTCTGGGTTGTGCTGGGGGGCTTTGGAGCGGCATTCTACAGCTCGATGCCCTTCTTTTCCGCACTTGAAACACCCCAGTTGCTTCTTGGCTGTAGACGATGATTTCACCGGTTCATGTGTTTGCTCAGGCGGGGGGCGGCTCCATTGTTTTCCTCGGCGGTGTCTCTTCCACTAAGTATTCTGCTTCCTCTGCCAAGATGTACCATTCTTCAAGTTGGTGTGGGTCCCCTCGGGGCAGGCAAGCATCATATAGAACATAATTTAGTCCGTCTTTGAAATGGCTAAGGAAGATGTCTTCTGGCCAATTCAGTTTGCTGGCAATGGCCCGGAATTCTTGTGTACATTCAGCCACCGGGCGTTTGCCTTGCTTCATCATTTTTATCCTTTCACGGGCTTTGCGATCAGCCAGGGGGTCTTCAAATCGTCTTCTCAAAGAGGACATGAAACGGTTGAAATTACTGAGTTCTGGGGCATTGGAGTCATGCAAGTTCACCACCCAATCTGCAGCCGGTCCATCCAGGGCAGATTGCACAATCCGGATGCAGGCTTTGTCACTGGGAATGTCCTGCCCGTATTCCTCCATGTAGCTGAGGACTTGGGTTAGAAAAAACCCCAAGCGTGTTGGCTCCCCTTTGAATTTCACCTCTAACGGTGGACGTCTTGGAATGGATCGGTACCTCCATTGTTGGTGGTAGTGTCTTCCGTCCAGATTGCCATCTGTGGTCCGGTAGGGGGTGGGGACTACTGGATCAGTAGATGTCCCCAGGGTTGCCAGTTCCACGTCCCCCTCGGTGTCTCTCCCTTTGCGGCTCCAGGAGCTGGGGCGGCCATAGGGCTCAGGATTCTCCTCTCCTAGGGAGCTGAGAGTTCTCTTCATCAGGTCAATAGCTTTTTCTAGGATCCAGTCTGAGTACGGTGCCCAGCTTTCTCCCTCTTCACTTGCGTGCAGGGATTTCTCCATCTCCTGCTTCCATTCTGGTTGCTTGGTCCCCCGTCTCAGGGTCACCTTTCTTGATTCCTTTCCCCACTCACTTTTCTTTCCAACGCCCATTGACCAGCGAGGCTTGTGGTCCCGTGTCTCCACCACTTCTTCTCCTGAGGAATCCGACCTCTCGGATCCCAACATCTGACAAGGTTCCAATTTGGTCAGCGGCTCTCTTTCCAGGGAGTTTTCCCCCTCTCTTGCTCCATTGTCTGACATGGTAAATTTTTGCAAAATCCCCCGGCAAGGGTCTCCCTTCCAGGTGGATTAATTTTGCAAGTCCTGTCTAATGTAAGGACCCACCCCACTTTGCATCTTAAGAAGACAGAACTCTTGGAATAATTCTTCCAACAGGAATCCTTTATTAAGAGAAAATGGTTGCAGGCGTTCTAGACAGGACTTGGGGTTCAAGCTCTCCCATTCAAGGTTTTAAGGGGTTCCCCAGTAGTCCCACCCAATCACCCCCCCTCTTCCAGTGACAGTTTCAGGCATCACAATCCCACCCCTTTTTTCCTTCCGTCTGGATGAAGACTTCAGATAAACTACATGAAAGGTAAATAGCCTCCTTTGTTATGATAAGACCTTTTGGTGCTAACCCCATTCAAACTCTTTGAAGTTGCAATAGACACATTCAGTTCCTTAGAAGTATACTGAAGGAAGTGAGTGCCATAAAGCCCCTTTGTTCTCCCCCTTCTCTCCCTCTTATGGCAGAATCCAGAGAAGGCAGAATTGGGGTTTTCTATATTTGATAACTAAAGATGAAATATAATTGGATTCTGATACTACAATCCAGTGTCCCACCAGATCAGGTTAGAACACATCAAACACTGGGCAAGCTAGTGGCCGTGTCAGAATATGTGGCTGATGCTTCCCTACGTTCCACTAAGTATTCTGCAAGATCCATTGCAGCTATTGTTGCCTCTCGATGATTTCTATGGCTGAAACATTGGAAAATGGATTTGAAGGCTAAGTGGCGCCTGTCCATGTCCAAATATAGCGGACACTGTTGTTTGGATCAATCGTAGATCCACACGTTATTGAGGGCAAGGACAAGCGCAAGATTTTAGTCCATCTTTCCAAGAAGTTAGACAGGAGGCCTCCATAGGAGTTCTGTAGGCAAAGTTTCCAACCCAGCAGCTCCTGGGAGTGGAAACAGCCCTTTCAATCAGGGCAATCCTGGGACTCGTCAAGAGGCTTGTGATCCTTCTCTTCCAGTCAGGATCGTCCCCAGGATCGCCAGAATACTGGAGCCAGAGGCGAATTCCAGTCCAAGCGTCCCTTCAGGGGATTTGGCAGCCGACTTTACAGACGGTCTAAGTGATGCCAGGGAGGGCTCTCCCATCGGGGGGCATCTGAAGAGGTTCAGCGACGTCTGGGAGCTGACCACCTCCGACGCTTGGGTAGTAGAAACCGTAAGTACGGCCTTACCTTAGAGTTATACTCTCCCCCACCAGACCGTTTCATAAGCTGTCCACTCTCAAGAAACAATACCAAAGCAAACTTGGTGGCCTTGGCTATCTCTCATCTAGTAGATATCAAAGCCATAGAACCGGTACCAAGGGATCAGGAAGGAAAGGGGTTTTACTCCATTCTGTTTGTGGTTCCCAAGGTCTCAGGAGGATGGAGGGCGATACTGGATTTAAAGGGTCTAAATTCTTTCTTGACCTACAGAAGGTTCAAGATGCAGTGCCTAAAATCCATCCTGGCCAGCATCAGGCAGGGGGATTTCCTCTCTTGGATAGATCTCACGGAGGCGTACCTACATATTCCAATACACCCGCAGCATCTTAAGTTCCTTAGGTTTTGCTACGCACACCGGCATTACCAATACAGGCCCCTTCCCTTCGATCTGTCCTCAACCCCAAGGGTTTTCACAAAGATATTAGCAGTGCTAGTGGCTCATCTCAGGTGCACGTACAATGTTATTTGGACAATATTCTTGTTCAGTCCAGTTCCTTCCAGGCAGCTCAGACATTCAGCCCACAATACACATTCTTCAGATTCACGGGTTCTCAATGAACTTCAAGAAGAGTCATATGACTCCACAAGGAGACTCCAATACCTGGGGACAATAATAGATTTGACACTTTGCAAGGTATACCTTTCCCAGGAGCATTGGACCAGCATCAGGAAGCTGGTACATCAGGTTTGAAAGGACAGGAGGGTGCCTCTGGCACAGCTGTCAAAGCTCCTGGGAAAGATGGTTTCTTGCATGGGTATCGTTCCGTGGGCCAGGATCCACTCCAGGCTCTTACAATGGTTCCTACTCCCTTACCAGAGGCAGAATCTCAGTTCCTCCAACAGGAGGGTCACAGTTCCACATCACACATTACTGTCTCTACTCTGGTGGACATTATCCGCGATGACCAAGGGAACTATCTTCAGGGAGCCCTTCCAGATCACCCTTACCACAGACGTGAGTCTGTTCGGTTGGGGGGCTCACCTGAAAACCCATCTGGCCCAGGGGCAGTGGTCACGGTTGAATCTTGCCCACAATATAAATTGGCTCGAACTCAGGGCCATACACCTAGCACTCCTTCAATTCTCCCCTCTAGTAAAGGGGAAGCATATCCTAGTTCTGACAGACAACGTGGCAGCCAAGGCTCACGTCAACAAACAAGGAGGGACCCGGTCCTGGGAACTAATGTGAGAAGCATTGGCCCTGGGTCTTTGGGCGGAGTCTAATTTGGGCTCCATCAGGGCGGAGCATATTTCAGGAAAACAAATCGTCAAGCAGACTCTCTGAGCAGAGCCAAGGTAGATCATGTGGAATGGTGACTGGACCCGGCTCTGTTCGAGGAGATCTCACTGAGGTTCGGGCGTTCTCACCTGGATCCATTTGCCTCCCCGAAAAACGCTCAGCTTCCCAGGTTCTTCTCCAGGTTCCCGACGCGGGGAGCAGAGGGAACAGATGCCCTCCGATGTCAGTGGCCGGCGCAACTTCTTTACGCCTTCCCACCACTTCCTTTGTTACCAGCGACCATACGCAAACTGATTCTAGAAGGAGCAGAAGTAGTTTTGATTGCTCCACGTTGGCCAAGGTGTCTGTGGTTTGCCGACCTTGTGGATCTCTCGATCTTGCCTCCGTGGAGACTTCTCCCAGACCAAGTGGTCCTCAGTCAGGGCAACCTTCAACATCCCAACCCGCAGTGGCTCCAGCTAGCCACTTGGCGCTTGAACAGGAAGGTTTAGCTAGACAGTCATATTTGTCCAGGGTGATCTCGATGATCCAAGCATCGAGGCGCCCTTCGACGAATAGGGTTTATGATGCCACATGGAGAGGCTTCTGCAAGTGGTGTTCTATACAAAATCTCAACCCGCTTTCGGTCACTATTCCAAATATTCTAGATTATCTGTTGGAAGGTTTGAACAAGGGCTTGTCATCCAGTACTAGCGGCCCTTTCAACGGTCCTTTCCTGCGACAATTCCAGTCCCTTGTCGCAACATCCAGCGATCAATGCCTTTCTAAAGGGAGCGGTTAACACCAGACCACCCATGGTACATCGCTATCCGTCTTGGGACTTAACCAAGGTGTTTCAGGCTTTGATATCTCCTCAGTTTGAACCTTTCAGTTCTTGTTCTCTCCACTTCTTGTCTTTGAAGGTGGCATTCTTGGTAGCTATTATTTCAGCTAGAAGGATTTCGGAATTAGCCGCGCTTTCCATTAGGGAGGATTTATGCACCTTTTTCGAAGACAGGGTGGTCCTTAGATTGGACCCCTCGTTCGTTCCAAAGGTTAATACTCTTTTTCACAGGGCTCAGGAATTGATCCTTCCCAATTTCTGTCCCAATACTATGCACAGGTTGTAACGACAGTGGCATAAGTTAGACGTACGCAGGGCTCTGCATTACTACGTGAAGCGTACATCATCCTTCCGCAAGTCGGAGGCCTTATTTGTGTCCTTTCAACCTTTAGCCATGGGAAAGAAGGTTTCTTCTTCCACCATAGGTAGGTGGATTAGGGCATGTATTACTCGAGCTTATTCTTCTCAGTCGATTCCTGTTCCTTCGCACGTTACGGCTCACTCGACACGCAACGCTGCTGAGTCAGCCGCATGGTCCACGCAGGCTTCGGTTGAGGAGATTTGTAGGGCTGCGACATGGTCTTCTCCTTCAGCGTTCGTCAAACATTACCGAGTAGATGCCTTCGCGGCAGCTGATGCTGTGTTTGGCAGGCATGTACTTCAACAGGTAGTTTCTTCTCAAGATTTGCAGGCCTAGACTCTCCCTCTCAAGGGGACATGAGCAGCTTTGGTATGTCCCATCCAGTGGATTCTACAATCATCCTGCTGGAAAAGGGGTGTTGTCTTATCTGAACGCCTTTTCTCAGCAGGATGATGTAGAATCCACACCCTCCCATGTAGGTAGTCTAGGCAGATGTTACGAAACATGGAGCCATTATGTTGGATTCGTCAGAGCTGCTTCGCCTCGTCAAAACTGGGGAGACACACCCAAAGGGCAGGCGTGACCAAAGTTCTGACCTAGTCTGCTGAGCAGGAAGGCTGTAACTACCCATCCAGTGGATTCTACATCATCCTGCTGAGAAAAGGCATTCAGGTAAGACAACGCCCCTTCTAGCCTCAGCCGCAGCATGTCAGAGGGCGCCTTCCAGGACAGCGGCGGCGACAAAAGCAAAGAGAAGGTGGAAAGGGAGCTTTCAAGCAATGTGGAGGACAGTTCGCTCAGGCTTACGCCCTGTGGCTCTGGCCACTTCAACAAGGGGGGCAAGGATCCCTGGGCAGCTGGGCTCTCCCACGGGGGAGTCGAGGGAACCCCCTCCATCTGAATGTTCTACGTCCAGCAGATTGTGCAAAGCCCTCCGGTAGGCTTTCTGTCACTGAGTTGCGCGCCTTGTGCAAACGCCAAAGCCTCCTTGACCGAGATGACTGTCAGCCCATTGAGCCCCAAGCCCCGGGAGGCCTCGCGATCTGCCGGCCAGCAGAGCAATTGGACTTTTTCCCGGCACCCCGAGGTTATTTTTCCTGCCAGCTGAAGCGACCCATGCTGAAACCAGCTGAGAGCCGGAATGGCTTTCTGCAGTCGATGGTGCTAAGTGGCTTTGAGGCTGGAGAGGAAGGTGTAAAGCAGCCTCGGCTGAAGCTCTTCCAGCTGCAGAGCTTCAGGCAGTTCCTGAAGAAATGCTCTTCTCTTCCTCACTCAAATCAGCTGCTAGTGGCTTGGGTGGCTCTGCTCTATCCAAGCTGAAGAAAGCAGAGGCCAACAGAAAGCAGCTTTGATTGAGAATGAGAAGAGCATTTCCTCAGGAACTGCCCGAAGCTCTGCAGCTGGAAGAGCATCAGCCAAGGCTGCTTTACACCTTCCTCTCCAGCCTCGAAGCCGCTTAGGACCGTCGGCCGCAGAAAGCCATTCTGGCTCTCAGCTGTGGTCCAGCGGGGGAGTGTGGAAGACAAGAAGAAGAGCATGAGGCCAGGTGAGAATATCGGCAATGGTGGCTGGGTGGCTGGAGAGGGGGAATCTTGGTAGTGGCATTGGCAGCTCCCCCCTCCCAGCCCATTTCTCCAGCCAGCTCCATACGATGCTTGGCAGGAAACCACCTCCCGCACACCCCATCTGACCCATGCACCTTCCTTCCAGCAGACCTCGTCTCTTCCTCCACCGCCACCATGTGCAGTTCCAAAAAGAAAAGAAGTATGTGGGCAGTCCCACAAACAAAAGAAGTTCAATCAATCAATTCCAACTTCGCGAGATCTTTTTTTGTGTGAGAAGTTGGAATTAATTGATTGAACTCCCACTTTTTTTCTTTTTTTTGGGACTGCAATTGGCGGAGGACAACTGGGAGCCGTAGCAGAAGGCTGAAAGAGCCACATGCAATTCCAGAGCCATGGGTTGCCAACCCGTGGGCTATACCATTGTTAGCACAGCAGAGACCCTTATTGGATAACATGATGAATTCAGCCAGCATGTATAAACTATGTATTCTCTCCTAGTGAAAGCACGAACAGCTAATATTACCTTTAAGAACAACAAAGGTATTACTCTGTGTCTAAATACACAAGTAATTTCAAATCTATCAGTCAAGATCTAATATGGAATGAAGCAGTCTTGATTGATCAACTTCAGGAAGGTTGGCTGATGAAATTCTAGATAAGTTGGCAAGAACTAAATGCCTGATACTCTGCAAGAACTAATACAGCTCTATTGATGACCAGGACCCAGGGGACAGTATCAATATACAGATGGCCTCTCTGTCTCTGGTCACTTGTCATGAAGGGTCATAAAAGGATAGCAAAGAAACATGCTAATGTCCTAAACCCACCCAAGAACATCTGGCATCTTGGGACAACACCCACGACGCCTAAGACTGAATATATAGTCTTGGGGAAACTCCCTTGAGAGAACATACTAGCTACTTCTGCTTTTCTTATCTACAGTGTGCCAACCTTAAAGGGCG